GGAAATTTCTTCATTTATTGAAGAAAATAGAAACAGCAACACGACAACGCGCCAATTCCGTTCCGCTTCGCATACTTCTGTCACGCACTCCCCGTAAATAAATATCCGCGAAATTCGCCCGCACTGAAATAACAGTTTGGCGTGTTGGATAATAAATAACTTATTAGACGTTTTGTTGTGTAGTATCGCTGAGTATTTTTACGAGTTGTGCCGTATTTTGACGAGCCCGTAGGGCGAGTCAAAATACAAATAACGAGTAAAAATACTCAGCGATACTACACAACAAAACGTCTAATAAGTTATTTATTATCCAACACGCCAAACTGTTATTTCAGTGCGGGCGAATTTCGCGGATATTTATTTACGGGGAGTGCGTGACAGAAGTATGCGAAGCGGAACGGAATTGGCGCGTTGTCGTGTTGCTGTTTCTATTTTCTTCAATAAATGAAGAAATTTCCAGGTCGTCTAGCTGTTTTTCTTCGTTCGATTCATCTAATAAACTTGGATGTATATTTGCCAGCCATTCTGACTCTTCGTCGTCGGAAATATGATCCAAATTGTCCGCCATTTTTTTTTTCGTAACTACAATTCAATTCTTCGCTTGCGCGATGCGAGAAAACCTGTTTAACCGGTACTCTATAGTACAAATACCGCGTAATATTTGTACTCGTCTATGGCGTTATTTGTACTCTACGAAGTGTAGTTGGATAATAAATAGCTAAATACTCTGAGACTTAAATAAAGTTCATCCAAAAATTCACTCATTCATTCATTTATTCATCCAGATATACTGGACTTTCAGTAAAGTTAGAGAAACTGTGGACCATTAAAAAAAGGAGAAAGCAAATAATTATTATCTGTTTACCTAGTTTGAAAATAAATTGCTTTATAATTATGCAATATGATGGAGGACTCAGAACTGAATAAAACGTATCTTTGACGAAGAACTTGATAACTCTTTACACCCTTACACCACTATGCATATCCTCTATATACCCTTTGGTGCTGACAAGGAGAATTTATTTCACAGTCAAGAGCTTCTTTGGTTGAAGATCATGTCCTTTTATTCTTGTGACCTTTTATTCTTGTGACCTTTATATCTGACTGACGCAAGGGTGATGTTGTAAGGAGAAAATAAATGCGAGTCATTGGTAGCCGTTAAAAAAGGTTAAAAATAATAATAATAATAAAACCATCTGAAGTCACCACAACAACAACAATTTCTCGGCGAGCTTAATTTGATTCTCAAATTACATTTATTTGAAATAAAAACGAAACAACTTTATGACATTTTAACGGTGGATTCCGTTTCCAATTTTTGATCATTCCTATGAGCCCTTAGGAAGCCTATATTGTCCAGTCCTTTCTTCTGCTTCCTCGCTATTCTTTCTCCAGCCATCGGACGGAAGTTTCTAAGAGAATGTAAGTGGTTGGCAAGGCGACTTTTTAGCCTACCTGTTTCATCGGCAGTCACCTACATCGAAGAAAAATGTAAGATTGTAGTCAGAATCGACGAGAATAGTATTTTGATCAAGCCTCTCTTATCCGAAGAAGCATCATTAACTTTAGGAATTCAAAAGACACGAAAACCTTTCTATAAAAATCCGAAAGCAAGACTAAACAATTTTAAGTATACAACTGTCAATTGTTACATTACTATGTAACAATTTATTATTATGAAAGAATTAAAGCGCGCTCTCAAGAAATTTTGTATAAAATTTCAGCATTCGCCGAAAATATGAACAAAGAATGAATTTTAAACCTAAGAAAGCAAACCAACATCATTTTACATCGACCTAAAATACTAACGATAACCTTATGTTTCAAGCCACTACAGCGAGTCGGCGTCGCTAAAGTTGACTGAGTAGCGTCAACAATGTCGTGTCTTTCTATCCATGTTGTACGCGTCCTAAAACATTCAACAGCTTCGGAAAGGGGAAGAAATTCAGTTCCAAAGAAAGTTTCATGACACGTGCTTTGTTTGATGGGAAAAATTTATCGAATGTGGCTGATAAATATCCTCAAAAATGTAACCAGGGAAGCAAGGCGTCTGGATAACCGAGGAGTGACAATGTTGGATTCCAACAAGGTTTTTTCAACGACATAGGTATGTTGCGTCAACATCATGATACCCACTTTTTTATTGTTCTTTTTTTTGCGATGTATTACTGAGCTTCTGATAATTAATTTTTTAGAAAAGGTTTTCAAGATAAAAATTAGTGATAATAATTTTGAACGACGTTTCGATCTCGCTGAGGTCATTTTCAAGCTGATGAAAAGGAAAATTTTTACATATATGTACTAAAATCAAGACGTAGGAATGATAAAGGCAATAAAATATGGAAATATGTAAACGCTAGGCGTAAAATAGAAGTGATAAAATTGCAAAAGAAACAATACGAGTAAATTAATATGAGAGTTGGCGAAAGTAAAACTATAAATTATACGAAGATACTGTAAATTATTATAAAAATAGCTTTGCGCAGATTGAGTTTGACTGTTTGTTTAAGCTTGGCTTAATTTCTTTCATAAAAAGCAGCTCGTAAATTAGAGGTGCCGGCTACACATGCCGGCACCTCTACCAACCGGTGCTGAAGAACACAAAGCGTCTCAGTCTTCAATCGGGAACCACATTAAAGAGCGGCATGGGCATACCCCAAGTGACTTGCATCACAGTTTCAAAATCCTGAAGAAATGCAAAAGTAAACTGGACTGCCAAATTTACGAGATGCTTTTCATAAAAGAAATTAAGCCAAACTTGAACAAACAGTCAGACTCAATCCGCGCAAAGCTATTTTTATAATAATTTACGGTATCTTCATATAATCTATAGTTTTACTTTCGTCAACTCTCATATTAATTTATTCGTATTGTCTCTTTGCAATTTTATCACTTCTACTTTACGCTTAGAGTTTACATATTTACATATTTTGTCGCCTTTATCATTCCCACGTCTTGAGTTTAGTACATATATGTAAAAATTTTCCTTTTCATCAGCTTGAAAATGACCTCAGCGAGGTCGAAACGTCGTTCAAAATTATTATCACTCATTTTTATCTTGAAAAGTATTAGCTTCTGTTTCTAAGTATTTTCAAACGACCACGATTATACTTTACATAGATTTTCGTTTCCCACCGTGATATATAACTATAAGCTACCACGGTGTAAACTATCAGCCTTTAGGACGTTCCCAGAAAAATTCCGTGGCTAAGCGCTCAGTAAAGTTGACGAGATTCGAGATGGGATAAAAATTTTGTGTACCCACGATTGAGTTTAAGTTACTATTTATTATTTAGAAAATAAATTAAGAAGCTATAGTTCTGATCCATGTTCACTGACAAAAGCTATTTATTTCACATTTCATAAACGATACCACGCCAAACAGTGGGAGCAGCATTCTGTGTGTAGGGAAAATGGCGAAATACTTCAGAAATTTCTGACTAATTTGGGCTTTGTAAGGGAGAAGAATACTGTTTACCCTAAAACCAAGTTTCCCTGTTCCCAGGTATTTTCTTATAAGTCGAGGTTGGCTTTTTTGTCATCTAGACTCAAAATTTGTACAAACCTGTCTTTTTCCACAGTTGTACTTGTAGGGGCAGTTCCAGGATTGCACCAACATAAAATTTGGAAAGGTAAGAACGAAGAAAAAGAACAGAGTCAGGACAGCTTGATAATTCATCTTCAACATACGAATTTTGAGGGTGTTTTCAAAACAGTTTACTGCTGTCAGTGAACATTGGAGTGGATCTCTGTCCCATTTAAATGAATGCAAAATGTGATGAATTAATAACTAGCTAATTAAGATAACAGATTACCTGATATGAAAGGTTAGCCGGCTTTTAATTCATTCTAAGCAATGTTTGCATAATTTTGTATAGCTTTTAAGTATTAAATAGCGTGCTTCTCGAAATTGTCTTAAGAATACAGCTTCCTCGATTTATTCTCAATTAGCGTAAATGTCCATACAAAAAAGCTTTAATCGTGTACCTAAGATCCCGAAAAAGGAAGATTTCCATTTGGAAATCCCACAAAAATTTTCTTTTCAAGAACGTTGGTCGAGACTTGTGCGGTGACATGACATAAAACGTTTATACATGCTCTCCGATTATTCCGAAAAAAGATATTTTTTAGAAAAATTGCACGAGTTTGATGTGTATTTATTGAATAAGTGTTATAACATTCTAAGAGACATTTAAACCGCGTTGGCGGGAAAGTGAAACACCAAACAGCTCATTTTGTGCTTGAAGTCGATTAATGTAAATGATCCGCCTCGACAAACTTCGAAAAGCTGGCGTTTTTAGCGCTTCGTTACTGTAATCCATCGACCGAGACAGAGTGTTTTGTTGTAAATGTTATTTTTAACCTTAACTTTAAACAGCTTTCTAAAGGTCTTGCAAATGAAAGAACTCAATATTGCGGTGTCAGAAAGAAACTGAAGTAAAAAAGAAAAAAAGAAGAGGGTGGTACCCAGTCTTTTTAAGGTTGAACTCGTTAATCTATCGAGGAGAAAAATTACAGGACAATCTTCTCCCCACTCAAAAGTAAATGAAACAAAAAATGGCGGCTTTCATCTTCAGCTTTACGCCGATAATAGAATCCCCTTTTATCAAAGAGCCCTGTAACTTGCTTCAGTAGCAAAAATTTAACTTGTAATAATATTTTTATACAAATACGGCCCCTCGCTATGGAGTCACAAAACTACGGGTCATTTATTCATTGAACTATGATAGCCTTGTTCCCCAAGTCATATTAGATCCATGAAAAAGGATCTTGAAGGGGGTTTGTCTTTTACGGATTTTCTCGCCTAAATTGAAAACCCAACCTTTTTGCGGTCTCATTACGTCTGAGTTTTTTTAATAGTCATTTTAAAGTGAAATAATTTGGAAGAAAAATTAATAACAATTACTTTTTTTTTCATTTTAATATATCTAATGTGAACACATTATCTTTTTCTGTAACTGACTAATCTTTGTATCGTAAAATGTAACAGGTGAAAGCCCAAAATTGATGGGGGTATTTTGTTTTGTTTTTATGGTACGTTTAGAATTTTTATTTTTTTTACTTTGTTTGTAATAGTTCAACAACGGCAATAATTTTTCTCCGAAACAGATTAACGGACTCAACTAGATGAAAGCAACCATTAACTTTGCTCAATAAATACAAAACACGTGCTTCTAATTTTTTTTTAAAAAGTCGACTATTAAAGCCTGAATGAAAGAGCGCTGTAATTTCTTTGTATGTTGGGTTTATACACTTTTCAAGACATAGGAAAGGAAAGTATACCTGTAGTCTTGGATCAATTGCAGTGGCGTGGTTAAAACCTTATCTACTTCGGATCTAAAACTATGCGATAAAAGGTTGGCCAAACTGTATCCAATCGAAGATGAATCCATAGCACGAAATTGTATAAAAAATATTTCGATAAGCACGCTGCTGTATTTGACAGCTCGTTAATTAGTTATACTGTAAATTATGATGGCGAAATGAATCCCAAGCCATCTCCTAATTATGAGCAAACAAAAGTTGTTTTGCATCATCGCATCTTATAGCAGCAAGGTGTATAACAGCTAGTTTATCTACTTTGGCATCAAAAGACGATATGATTATTTCAGACAACAAAGCTCAGTCTATGGTGAAAACTGTTTGCCACAAGAATATTTCCTCGCTTCAAGTTTTTTGCTAAACCAAAAGAGTTCTGGAAGTCTAAAAATTCTTGTATTACCAAATAATTCTCTTTTTTTTTTTAAATTATTTCGCCATCTCGGAAAGTTTTGGTCAAAAGCAATTATGAGAGGTTGTGGGTTTGTCCATATTATAGAATAAAAGCTCGACTTGATCTTTTAAATCCGTTAAATGTGTGCCAATGCAATCCGTACAATCTGACTCATATGATCTGGTTTCGCTTGATCAGACACGTAATAAGGATCTGACTAAACGATGTCACATGATCTGGTTTGAAAGATTTGTAGACTAGATGGATACGTGACAAAAATGAAACGACATCAACATGCCAGAGCACCTGGTGTATCCCATAATATGCAAACTAAATCCAGTACTGCGCGGGTTGAGCAAAGAACTGAACATGACGTATTGCAATCAACAAAGATGTTTTAACAAAGAGGCACTCCTCCAAGCTATTAGAAACAGAGTTAATAATTAGAATTTCAAAAACGTTTCTGTCATTAGTAGATATTCCACAGCTCCGAAGGTTTGTTTTAAGCTTTTCGACAGTCGATTGTAACTGCTCTTATATTGATTTCAAAATCCTAAATTATTTCACATTTATACGAAAGGGCCTAATAAGCTGGCGTGTTGCTTCTGACTTCCCCTATCTTAGATAAGCCGATGGGCGAAGTGCATTATTTTCCGCAGGAAGGCTTTCTAGAGGACGGAATCGCTTTGTCGATTTCATAGCCAAAAGCTTTTTAGAGCATAATTCATGAAAGCTTTGTTCCAGTCCATATAGTGGCTAGGATCAGCTAATTCCTTCGCCACAACGTATGCAAGCTTGAAGTGGTTAATTGCCGTGATTTCATTTGTTAAGACCGAAGCTCGAGTAAAATCGCAGTGAAGTTTTATCAGCACAGTTAACTTTAGAGAGTATGTTACGTTTTCTTTCACAGCTGGTTTTCCTTTTCAGAGCAAAACGTTCGCATAAAATTCTGAAAGCTGCAGTAATGAGAATTTGGTGTAAGATCAAGAAAGCAACTCCTGATAAGTTTGAATATTCTCATTACCTGTTAGCTGGATAATCTATGGATATTATGGGGAGAAGTTGTATGTTAATCACTTCTGAGAGTTTTGTCAAAGGGTAGAGGAGGAAAAACCGTGGCCTATCTCCGAAACATAAAAAAATCGCAGTTATCGGACAAATAACTGCTCCCGAACGCGAAGGAAGTCTGCTGGTGCGATAAACACCCGCCGAAAACTCCTTTTTTCGCTCTTTTTTATTCTAATTGTCGACTAGATATCTTTAAAAAAAACCAAATCGTTATGCAAGAATGTCCTAAACCAGGAGCCCAATATTGGTAAGGGTTTTCTGATCATTTAACACACAGGGGCCGTACAAGTAGGTTTATTCAAAGCAATTATTTTAGTAACAATTTCATATTTGATTCTGTTTAAATGAACCTCCTGTTTCTTATCTATCGAGGTTTGTTTTTCCCTTTTCCGTTTTTCCAAAGTATGAACAGTTACTTCCACTCTCTATCATTCCCATCAGACACTGCGATATTATCCATATTGTCCAGTCCTCTCCCGTTTTTCATCACATCCTCCTCCGGCCTCAATATCATGTTTCTTTTAAGATGGCTAACAACAGCTTCACTGCGTCTCCACTAAGACAAAGATCACGAAACGTAAATTTTGTGACGGTGAAAGACAACTGAAGTCAGTTTACAACTCAAAGTTTCCATCTTGAAGAACGTCACCCGTTTTTCATCGCGTAAAGCTTAATCTTGTACCCAGATCCTACCCTGGACCTTACCATTGCTCGGCAGTAGAAGGTCTAGGTACAAGGCTACGTAAAGTGATTAGGATTATTACTACACCCCCCTGCACCTTCTCCCCTTGTAGACGGGATGACAATCCATTGCAGAGTTACCCTCCCCTTCTCAGGATTTTTGACACATTGTCGATAAACACATTTATACTCTTAGAGGCAATGTGAGTATAAAATGTCTTGTTCAAAGTGTCCTTTTTTCCGTTCCAAAGCGCTTCCGTCGCCCACGAACAAAAAAGGAGATTTGAATATATAAAAAACAAACAAAGCTGTGCCCAGGATAGGTTGTCATTCCAGGTTGTCCTCGTTCATTTATAAACTTGTTTAATGAGTTGTTAGATAGTTAACTATTTCAGTAAGTAATAAATTTTAAAGAGGAAAATTGCTTTATTTCATCTGAAAAGACGGTATCCCTAATTGTTTTTTACAAAGAGGACTTCTTTTCCTACCTTCAGGATTCGGCAGAACTCAACAATTTCCTTCTCGCTAATATGAATTCAAAAAAGGTCTAAAAAACGTATGGGTTGAGAAGTTGAAGTAATACTTATGGCAAACCTTTTGCTTCCTTCCACATCTGGCGTCGAAAGGGCAGTTCCACCTCTTATAATTCGAAGCCAACACGAAAACAGGAATCGCTAGGACAAAAACGTAAAAAAGAACAAAGACAGTTCGCGAATTCATTTTCACTCTGATTTTTGTCGAAACTTTTGAGGGCTTCCTCGCTCGATAGTGAAACATGAAAATAGAAGACGAAAACTCTCCTTTTAAATGGTCTGACAGCCTACTTGAAAATGTCATCTTGCGTTCAAAAACTTAAAAGCACCCACCGTTGTCTCTATGAGTGCGGCATTTTATGATCAAGGACTTTGGTACTGTATATAGCTAAGCGATTCTTCATAACCTTTAAAAAAAACTACCCCGTATACACCAACTTGAAATAATGTATTTGTTTGCAAGCGTTATCCATCTTTAATTCTGGTCGAATATCCCAACTTTTGCTATTCCGGTTTTCTTTTCTTTTATTTTGCGCTGCATGTCTTCAAGTGATTTGGATACAAAAAAGGAAAATTGAATTTCCCAAACCCCAAGTGGTCTCTAAGGTCGTCTAAAGCGAAAGAGTCTGAGAGTTTTGTATATAATTATAATAAAATGTCCTACGGCACTTTCATCCTTTGATGAAACACAAAAGATTTTCAAAGCACTAACTGACTGTGTTTGTGAGCATGCCTAGATAAAAGTATACCTTTTATCCTCTCAGGCGAATATTTTATGAAAGGAGCTGCGGCTCCCTTGTCAAGATAATTTTCCTCCATTTTCTCAGTATTTCAGGGGTAGTGAAGATTGTTGTAGGAAAGTTTAATCAAAATGGCCTCGTATTCCATCTCATGTGGGGTGGATTTTGTTATCTGTTCATGTAGGAGAGTTCACTCTGGTCACCAAGTAGGGTATTAAAGCCCGATGACCGTTAACTGACAAATTTCAGCTGGTCTATTAGAATGAACAAGGAGTGACCTCTCCATTATTTTTCGGGGTTGAGAAGTATTCTTAAAGGAAATTTTCCAGCCAAACAACCGTGATCTCTATAGACGGGTGCAACTTCTCATAAGAAAACATCGCAATTTTTACTATGAAAAGAATGGTGTGGTAAGATCTTAGAGATTCAGTTCTGTGTGGAAGGCTTTCATGAGTCCCGCCACCTCTGAATTTTATTAATAATTTATCTAATAATTTTTTTTTAATAATTTATCTAATTTTATTATTAGAGTGTTTAAAATGAGGCAACTTTGGAAGGCGCAAAATTATGTAGGTATTCTATTTAACCGGCAGTTATCCTCATGATCCAATGGGTGAGATGAAAGTATATAAAAAAGGAGACCGATGAAAAGTAGGGAAATTGCAACAGTTGTAAACATATTTTACACCTGAAAAAGATGTTTTTGCGTCTTATCTCTACCACTGAGCCTCAGAGAATCTTATTACGAAGGCTTATTACGAAGTATATCTGTGACACGCGTCCTGCATACTGCAAAGATCGGCAATGTCGATAGCGTCATGTTTTGTAAATAGAAAGGTTCGATTCCTCATGGGAATTCAGAATTTCTTCTTTGTCCCACGCTTGTGACAAGACGGACTCTCTCTTCTTTATTTCACACCTTCTACACATCATAATTTGGTCTTATTAACTCAGTTGATAATTTCAATTGGGCGCCATAAAGAATTTCTAAAGCTTTCGTCCTAGCGAAATACGAAGGGCCAACACTCGAAACGTCAGCTGTAGGAACTCTTTAGGGTGGCCAATTTACATTATCAATTCAGTTAAAAAAAAAAACACAACAACAACAAATTATCGTGGAATACCCACCACCGACGCAGCACGCAGTTTCTTTAGAAACTTTTTCCTTTTATTTCTTCCTCAATTCAAATCATTTGTGCGACTAAAATGAGCTACCGCAATTAAAGGAACACGCATTTTATTACCATGGGGACGAATTTTACCGACATTAGTTGAAAGCTTTACCGCTATACTTTCTAAGTACTTTTCGGTGTCATGAAACGAAAGTTTTCAGCAAAACTTACTTTTGCGTTGATGATGTGCTCAACATGAAACAAAAAAGCCGGTGTGCGTTACTAGAGTTGGAAACATAATGACTTCGGCACTTGCTTTGTGCTCCTTTGTATGGAAACCGCTGTGAGTATTTTATACAGACATCGTGCTTTACAAAATCGTCGAGTAAAATCCTTTCATAACTATTCGGTTTGCATTACAGAGAAATTAAGCGGTCGGTCCATCTTGAGCAAAATTTTGCTTAAGTTCACTGGTGCTAATTCAAAAGGCGATTCTGTAACGGGTACAAATGTCTCTAGATATTGCCACATGTTGCAATTCCAATAGAATTAGATTCAAAGAATTTTGGTGTCAACCGCGACTCTAATGCGACAAATAGAACGTTTTTATTCTTTCAGATCGATTAGTGTGATGCGAACTTGCAAAATGACTAACATGTGCTTTTCAGTTTAGTACCACGTGTGTTCAGACTTGCTGGAATAAAATTTCATTGTAGGTTATCCCGCACATATATATTTTTTAAATTTACAAAAGTTTACTTAGCTAAAAAAAGGCAGGCTGAATAACTCAGTACAATTGGCGGTGTAAACGGATGTTTTTTCATTAGTGCTCTATGGCATGGTGGAAAGCAATCTTTCACACAGATCCTTGTATGCTTAAACGCCCGTGAATTCAAAGAAGAAATTTTTTCCAAAAATATCGCAATGTGAAGAGAGCACTGATAAGTTGTAAAAAACTGTTAGCGTTTCCTGTACCAGAAGATCCACAAAATACAGGTTATCAATATCTGTTTTCCATCTTTTTTTTTAATTCTTATATTATTATTTTAATGAAAGCAACGGATCGAAGCGCTGCTAGTTAAGCTGGTAGCCTCACTCGGGATGCTGCGAAAACATTACGGGCAGAGTTGTGGAAAACACTCGCCTTGAGCTAGTGTTTTACTTTTCATTTCCATAAACCTGCGGTGGTGATTATAACCGTAAACTGATGGATCAATAGACTGATGGGCTGATGGGGGAATTTAGCTTTAAGATAACAACCTCTTGATGCCGTCCGATAACCTTTTTTTCTTCAGTCTCATTTTTGAGCAGGTCGCTTCAAGCTGTAACCATTATCTAAGGTCATAGTTTGGGATAAAATTTTAGGCTATGATCTGTCCGCTAAAGACTCTATTTCTGAATAAAAAGGGTCATTAAAAATCCAGCTGATATTTCAAGACCGACAGTTTTAAAATGCGAAAGACTCAAATTTGTATTCAACATGAAGATAATCGTAAACTGAGCACTTTCGAAAGATTGGAAACTGAGATCAAAATAGAATTGACAAAACAAAGCGAACAACAAAAATGGCCGAGGATGGAAAAGATTGAAATTGCCGGACATAAAACGATGACGGTTGAATTTTTATGGCTGCAAGCGTTTAACATTAATTAAGGACCACTCTGTAATCTATTGGCTGTAAATAAAGGAAGAGTTTAAGCAGCCAAGTAGGCGACAGTGTGGGCGCTGTCGATATTAATTAAAAAAGAACAAATTATGGACATTTACTCGTCAATTATTCTCCCATTTTATGCCTCAATCCATCTCGTTTCGGGTTTCATGTTGTCAGTTCTACAGCAAGCCTTTCTGAGACAGAAACACGATCTTGGTCAGAAACAGTTAGTGGGTGAAGAAATTCGTCGTGAAGAGTCGCGTTTGCGTTAAGTTATCAAAAACTACCAGCTGTCCAGTTTGTCTTTCGTGAAGTTTCTTTTTTTTTATTTTCTCTGAAGATTGCTTGATTAGAAACGTGCGGAGGAAGACGAATTTTCCATAGTCAGTTATTTATTTTTTCATTAACACCGGTGTTTTGTTCGATTTTCGTCTCGTCACTGTTACTAGGGAACTTAAGCAAACCACGCAACAAGAACGTAGCAAAGCAGAAGATCTTATGGGCAGAACAATAGCATCAACACGTGCTTTTAATACTCTATAAATTTTTTTGGTGTCTTTAGCAAATCAAAATCTCCAGAACTTGCGTGCTCTGAGAATGGAAAACCCGGAGACAATATTTTCAAATTTCCAAATGGCGCTTAAAGCTGTTCACATACGCTGTAGGAGACGATAAACGCATCCAGCCATTCGTAAATTTCTACCTAAAGATATTGATTCACGCCTTCCTCGGCGTTTCCATCCTAAATGCCTAAGATTCCTAATGAACATTTGAGATTTCCCTGTTCGCTATTTTTCGAGATCATGTCAATGACACAACTAACACAAGGACTTATGAATTGATGGTAAATGCTTACTTACTAAATAATAATCTGCAAATAGTTTTTTAAGGGCTTTTTGTGTAGATGTAAAGACCCTTCGATTGCGAAGTATTGAGTGATGGACTCCACTAGTAAGAGTGCCTTGTACAAAACCTTATTATATCATCGGTAAATATGTGACTAATTTATTTCTAAATCAGATTTTAAAAAACAAATGAGATATGGAGTACTGGTACCCTTAGTGATCCAAAACCCATGGTTTAAGCAGCTGCAAACCAATAGAAAATTAAAGTTTATCCTATAAAAGTAATAAATTGCAATTTCTGTTGGTTTAGCGGCGTAATCATTGAGAGAGCACTCGAAAGGTGTGTAAAACATTCGCCTCATTTACAATCCGACGTTTCTCGTGTTCTCCCAACATCCCACGAGGATTACTACGCCGATACAAGTGCGGTCAATTGCATAAGATTACGACCCTAAACTACTTCATTATTATAAATAAATTTAATTGGTGATGTACACCTTGTTAAACCGCCCATGTGGCGAGTGTAGGCGTGTAGGAGTGTAGGAGTGTAGGAAAGCGTGGCGGGCAGCCAAGCTGGCAGTCTAGAGTGATGAAGTGTGCACTCACGGGCATGAATTTCGTAGATTTCACGCACTTTTTGCGTGATTTGACGTTGGAGGGTTTGTCACGTGAACTCAAAAGAAAGGGAGGTTTTCTAATATCGCATAATTTAACCGCAGGTCAATCTGCCTCAGTTTTGTTGGTTTTACGTCCGATAAATTAAAATAGAATCTGTTTTTGAGACTAGCGTGAGCAGAAAAAGTTGAATGTGATTTTTTTTTTTCCACAAACGTAGGCTTTTCACACACGATCATCTATTAAAATTCATTTCCACTAATCTCCGGATAATTGTACGAAATAAAAATTCAACTGACGAATTTTCCAGAAAGATTAGCATTAATCTTGATTTTATAGGCCTTCATTCAAAAAACTGTTTTTAAACTGGTGGTTTCTTTTTCCGTCGATGACAACTGAGGAAGTAAAAGACGATACAAAATTGATTTTAAGCCACAACCACCTTTTCAGGAAGTGTGTTTGACATAAAGACGAAGATGTTTTTTGTTTTCTTCTACGCTTAAGACAAGACAAAAAGACATCTTTCTTCTAAAAGTAGTCGTTTGACACACACACAAAACAAACCTTTTCGTCAGATGTATTTTGGTTTTCACAGGTTCATAGACCACTTTCATAAATGGCTGCCAGATTAATATTCTTTTGTTTAAATTTAAATTAGCCTTTCTGGCCTCGTTCTCCAGTACAAAATTCAAAAGAATACATTATCTCAAGCGAAGCCAGAAAGGCTAATTTAAATTTAAACAAAAGAATATTAATCCGGCAGCCATTTATGAAAGTGGTTAATTAACATTGAGTTTGATTACAACGAAAAAACGGCCTTATATTTAAATCATCGATTAATATCGCACCTAAGGAATGATAACTTCTTGCCTTGCATTCGTGAATTTGAATCCGTTTTATTATTTTTTTTTTTAAAGCTGGCAAAGGGAAAGTATGTAAGCTGCAAAAAAAGCTAGTGGCAAGTAATTAACCTGTTAGATCTAGTTACTATGCAGAATACGGACGGGGAGATATCAAAATATATCTACATATATATATATACATTAATTAATCGCATCGATCATCCGATATCCGACAAATTTATATTGGAAGACGTATACTCAGCCATTTGAACTTGTTAAGTACAGATAAAAATGAACAAAACCTCCAGCGTTTTCCATTTTTTATACTTCAGCTGCTTGTTTAACGGAAAATCTTCGTTTGTAGATCAAATACTTACAAGCTTATTTCTATTCATTATGAAAAAGAGGATGCCATTCCTCAAATAAATTATACTACAACAATTTGTCAAATTCTGTACATTAAAATGGAGTTCGACAAACACCACCTCAAAAAATTATTGTCAATGGCAAAGAACTTAGCTATTGTGAACTTTGTCATTTTGAATGGGAGCCATAATGAAAGAGCACTCTGTGGCCAGTGCTTGTCACTAGAGGACATTCAAATGCATGATTTATGATAATTGTATGTAGAAATTACCGTATAGACTCTGTTTTCAAGAAGTTGGTGGAGGCTGACGCAGTGAAAGTTCGCTCAAGCTCCTAACTAATTCAAACTTTTTGGTGTTTAATCAGTACTGAAGTACATTAATACCAAATGAATGATGGATTTTTCAAGCCGTAATTTCAAACATGTCAAAGGGAGTGTCTATGGCCCTGCCACTTATTTTTGAAAAGCTGTGAAACATTACTTTCTTAAAAACCTGCTGAGTCTTTTTTTAATGTACTAACAAAATGATTAATCATTTACAATATTTTTTATTTATAAATAGCATCCGACACTCACTTTTATCACAGCAAGCCTGGAGCAAGAGATATTTACTGACTGACTTATGAGAAGATGAAATCAACAGCTGTATCAACGCTATTTCTTGTGTTCATTTTGGCCTTTCCACACTGTGTGCTGAGCCAGTCCGGATGGTTGTGTCCTTACGACTATCGTTGCGGGAAAAGACAGGTTTGTAGAGAAAATCTTGCTTGAGTTATTGGCGAGATATTTTTCATCGTCCGTTGATATCATAATGTCATTCGAGGTGTCCAGTTCAACAAAGTTTAAGAAATCTAAGTTGACTAGATTTTACAACTCAGAGTCCACTCAAAGATCCGTATCTGCGGTCCCATTTTTTGCGTGTGAAATTAAACACTCTTTCACTCCTAAGATCTCATTAGTAAGGAAGCTCCTTAGACATGCTGCCTTCCATACAATTCTCATGTTCGTTTGGAGAATTTGGTATTGGCTCAACTAAAAATCGCCTTATCGATGCTTTTCTTTATTCTCGTCACTTTTTTGTTTGACATTGTTGTGATATTGAAAAGGGAAATTCTGTCTTGGTCAATCTTGATAGTTGACGCCGTGGCCAATTGTTCAGCGTTGAGAGTCCGGGTTCGAGCTTTAGCAAGGCCTCTGAGCTGCGTTCGTGGGCAAGAAACTTAATTTCAGGAGTATAATTAAATCTGAGCGAACTATCACGGAAATCTGCCCGTCCAGAGAGAGTAGCGATACTAGTACCCCACACCTCACCCATCGTACTTGGGAAAACGCGTAAGCAGTTATGGAGCACATGTTCGACAACTTATCTTTTTGACAAAAATGAAAATATGATTATTTTTGCAGATAAATGACGCGATAGCCCTCTCTATCAGCCGCTTGGCCAATCGACTTCGCCTTCTCAGGAGTATCTATTCGCTATCAGAAGGAAAAGATTCATCGATAAAAACTAACGTTCATGGAGGAATCGCAAATGAAAGACTTCCAGAAATCAAAGGGATATAATCAAGAATGGAAGAAAATGTTACTAGTTAAGCCTTCTGAGAAATCTGGACTCATGAAATATAAATCAAATTATTTAGATATCAAAGAATGTTATTCTGATTAAAATAACTTGACCTAGTGATCTAAATGAGAAGAAAAAGAAAATATTTCATTGAAATAACTCTCCACCTATTTCTAAGTTCTTTCTTAAACATCCGTTGACCTCAGACACTTGACGATCACTTCCTATTTTCCTATGCTAAGGTTGTATGTGTGACAATGGAATTCAAGGGTTTTTATAACGTTGACATGAGCGGCTGGCCTGCTTTTATTGACACCCCTCGGAATAACATTATCCCCCCCCCTTCAAGGACACACGTGCGAGGAGCATGTTTTGCGCAAACGCAGAAAAACGTTAGTCATTGACATTATTAAATCTTTATTTGTCTGAATGAAACCATAGATTTCACGTTCAATCCATAACATCTTGATTGAACTGTGGCCTATTTGGTTTATATGATTCAGTTTGAGCCTTGGAGCAAAATCACTACTAAGGAGCTTTACATTCCGCAATTTGCCATCAGACCTCCGTCAAGTCTGTAATAGCTTATGGAGAAAAGAGCAATTCAGTGCTCATTTGCTAGAATTGATCGCGCAAAACATTTTGAAATGTCCATCAACACGTTCTAGTAACCAGCAAGTCTGGGTTGGTTTTAAGATGCAGTACCGCTTTCGTTACTTCGTCGTGCTGATCAAAGTGCATCGCTCAGGAATTTAAATCTATAACCCTTAAGTTACTTAGAGTTTTTATGCCGCTGATTTCTGTGTCAAAAGAGGGAGACACTGATCTCCTTGATCATAAAAGTTTCACCCTTTTGGTTTAGAAATGGGGTGAAAAGTGGTGTGAGAGGTTAGAAGAGAAAACACTTCAAGATAAACAAAATCGCGCTAATTTAATTCCATAAAGAAACAATTTATTTGTTTGCTTTATTACTTAAATTACATTTACATCATATCTAAATAATTTTATTCTTTTTTAAATTTTATTTAATTCTTTTGTTTTCTCGTCAATCACTGGTCATTCCCATAAGACTTCAGGATGGCTGCTCTGTCCAGTCCTCTCTCATATTCCCTCTCTTTTCTTTCTTCCGCCATACGACGGAAGTTTCTCAGAGAACGTAGACGGGCGGCAAAACGACTTTGTGGTAGGGCAGTTTTGTAGCTCATCTGCCAAAAAAGATCAGTAAAGTTACTGAGATACTCCTCGAGAAATATAAAGAAAATTACCTCGACGAGCCTTTCAACCTTCAAAATTCTACCGGTTATGATTCATTTCGAATATTTTGCAACAAAATTGAGAGTAATTCGGGGTGGGTATCTCATTTCTACAAAGACATTAGTATACAGATTTTTCTTAAAAATCTGTACATCGCTACATCGTACCGGTTTGGTGGGCTTAACAATTATGGTATATACGCCACTATAACCACACGAACACAAGAGACGAATTCGGCTTGTGCCATCTCCCAGCTGTTAATCACAAATGAAATCAGCAATGGATATCGATATTTTCGAGGTCATTTTAGAGTGAATCATGAAAGTCGACTCGCCAGTGGGCTCCATATCTGTCATTTCGTATCAAACGCACGATCGTGAAATAACTGTTGTGTGTTCTTCAAGTTTATGGTAAATTAAAAGTTAATGTTTATGTGGAACACGTTTTCCCGATTACTGTCTCTTTGTAACATCAGAGTTTGTTTCCTTTGGAAACTACAAATAAAAAAAAAAAGATATCATCAGTTCTACAAACCTCTCTCTTTCCGCATCTGTAATCAAAAGGGCACCTCCATACATCGCTCTGAGCTGACACAAGATAAGAAACATTTAAGACGAAGAGAAGAAAGAAGACAAGAACAGTTTGCGAATTCATCTTTAGCTAAAAAAATGTGTATCTTGTGTGAGAGTTAACTGCTAATAGCGCTATAAACACAAAACTTGTAGGCTGATCTTTATATAAGTACAAACTCCAATGAGATAAATTAACCGCGAAATATCATCTACGCTTTTCGAGGGAAATCTTCAAGTAACGTTTGCATAATTTTGTATAGCTTTTACAAGTTAAATAGCGTGCTTATCGATTTTTTCTTTAAAAAACCATCTTGTGCACCCACTTTTTAATTAGCACCTGTCTACGCCCTTACCGATCTAATTAAAAACAACTATGAATTATTTAGACGCTTCACCTCGTGCTGAGCCAGCTTGTATGAAAACGGTTCAAAGACAAAGAATGAAACACTTACGAAAACCTTTGCATGATTACCGTAAGTAGCTAAGTACATATCATCTGCTAATAAATAGCAACTTCTTAATACCTCGGAGTATTCCCAGGAGGGTAGCAATTCCATTTCACGCACGAATTCTAGAAAAATTCACGAGCGCGTGTACTTTAAATAAACAATAATACACGCGTCACGAATTTCGAGTGAGACTTGCAATTTCACTTTACCCTGCCTTCCTGTAAATTCTCGCGGCACATATTAATGTTAGGATTCATCTCTAAATCCCTTTCTACCCTCTCCCAGTTCGGTGGCTTTGAATTCCTTCCTGTTTCACTTCAAAGGAAGCGACAATTTCTCATTATTCAATATAACATTGAAGATAGTACGGTTCAAACCATGCGGTTGAAAAGTTATCAACGAGTATCCAACGAAAGTATCTAAATTGAGGAAGTGTTTCTGTAATGAAACCTTAACCACCCCAGTTTATTTGCAGATGTGCCAATTATTTGCTAAATAACAGTACTTCTTGGCATAATTTCTGATCTAAGATAGTCAATTACCATTAATTGGGATCCTCATTATGCAAATTAAAACGCGAATTTAGTTACCACCGCCTTGCTATACGGTTTCAGTAAGGTTAACACCATATTTTTCGTGTGGTTGCCAAGAAATCAATCTACACACCACAATATGCGTTAAAATGCCGTGCGGACAAGAATTCTTTATATAGGTGAAGCTAACTGTCAACTTTAAAATGAGTTAACAAAGTTATTTTAGTCATAATATTTATCCAAATCTTTTTCAAGTCTGTCATTTGGAATCCATAAAAATGTTCTCCAACCCTTGCAATTCGTAGTTACCTTTCGATGTTTTTCTTTCTAGCCAAATTCTGACATCTCATGCTTTTGCTAATGAGGAAAAATTCTGCAGGTCGCAGAATCCCACACCCATTGAATCATTAACAGCATCCAGGAAGCCTTGTATGCGACTCGATATTTCAAAAATTGGCTGAGCTAGAGGGAATGAAAGACTTCTACATAAATGTGGATGAGAGTCGTGACCAGTAACAAAATACGCCACTCATGTAAATAACAACTTTCGCTAGCGCCGCTTGGCTAAATAGGAAGTAAATAGCCTAGTATTTTTTACCTCAGATCGAAAGGCTACGGATACCCAAGGGTAACTTGTTTCGATTAAAAAAAGCGGCTGCTGCTTCGAAAGATACGAAAATGGCACCAAAATGTTTGATGGCGTTGAATTGTTCATAGTTTAGTTGAATTCAACGGTACAAAAGCGCTGACTTTTTTTGTTGCTTTTCTTGAGTCCAAGCCAATTACTGTCCACCGAGTTACTTTGATGGGCCAGCTGTACTATACTTTAATTTTCCTACATGTTTTTAATTAGTTCTAATAGAGTGAGGTAGCAACCAATCAAATTCCAGAATTCCATTGATACGAGAGAGAGCACCGTGTTTAAGAACAAAGAGCCTGATAAAACGAAAAGGCCTTCCGTCATCCCACTCGAAAAAGTTCAGTTTTTATTAGCAATACAACAAAGTAAACGCCATCGTAAAAGAAAGAAAAGTATACACTTATCTACACATCCCAGAACCCTCTCCTACTTGTTTTTATTAGCAATACTAGAAAGTAAACGCCATCGTAGAAGAAACACAAATGTACACTTATTTACACATTACAAAACCCTCTCCTATTTGTACGCAATGAATAATGCAAGTAAAGAAATACAGAAAACAATCAAGTCATGTTTTCTATGGCGCAACAGTTATCTTTGACATCTGTCTTTTGGATTTAGAGCCATACTGGGAAAACTCAGACACATATTACCCTTCAATAAAGGAAGCAAGTTTCTAAAGAACCTGTGGTGCAGCGCCGGTGGGGAGCATAACAAGATAATTTGGTTTCATCAAATGAGTTGAATTGTAAGTTAGCCTCCGAAATGAATTTCTGAGCATGTACCATCACCCCATTCAAACTCACGTAACCAGGCCTTCTGTCAACCTTACATTCTCGGAAATATACCTGTAACACTCAGAAAATGGCGAAAGACTTTTATGTGCAGAGGGAATTCACTTCCTGCATAATTTTACAAATATCCATCAAATAGAAATACTAGAATGTTTACAAGCAAATATTCGTTCCATAGCATATCTAGTACAGCGGTCACACGTCTGCGCATGTGCAAACCTAAGCGGTGTGCGTTCAGGCTGTCAGAACCAAATTGTCTCACGTGACAAAGACACACTCCAGTATGGCATGGGTATGAAAAGCCTATAACTTTTCTGGTAATGCTCAAAGCAAAATGATGAATCAACAGCATACCCGTACTTGAATAAGCCTTGTGATTGTGTTCGAAAAGTCACAAGTTTTTTTACCCCCTACCTTTGTTTCCTGCAGCAGAATTCTGTGAACCTTTCAGTTTTCTTTCGCGTATTTTGCAAGACAGCGGTTTTTTGTGTGTTTTCTTTTTAAATTTTGCTCGAGAAATTGGCGCGCGGTCGGCTAGAAGTGATCCCCTTACGGTTGCCCGACGATTGA